GAATTGCCGATTTCTAAAAGGCGGTTCACCAGTTGCAACCAAATACATAATGATACCAAAAGAATATATGTCTGATTCCTTCGTAAACTTGCAGGTATGAAAAACTTCCGGTGCAATAAAAGGTAGATCACGAGGAACTTTTATTCATAGCAAGGTGCTCGCTAAAGCCCAGTTTAAGCTATTTTTATCTGTTTACATATTTTGTAAAGGAAGAGAACAAAAGCCCATAAGGATGGGTTAGACCATGGACGGGTAGAGTATCTACTTATGGCTGCGGTTATAAGGGATTGAATTTTGTTAGGGGAGACCCATGGGGTAGATGGGTCTATTTGCATGTCTACGGTGCGGAGTGATAGAAGGCGTCCGGTGCAATAAAAGGTAAAACGCCTCGAATGGTTGACTCACGTGAATTCACTGATCGAGCAGTGCACTAATCCCGCAGCATGAATATACATCAGATAAAATGCAATATTCTTCAAACACTTTAATTTATCCTTCCACATCAATTTGTTAATATTCCGATTCAAATAATACTACCTCTATATAAAAAATATTAATATGAAACTAATTTACATTAAATCGACCATGGAACCCAAAAGTATTTTAAAGAAAGCTCAAGGAGAGAAAATTGCCCCTTACGTTTTTAAAATCAATGATACCCAAACACTCCAGAAATATCTAGATCAAGAAAAAATCACTTATGAAATTTACCAAGAAAAAAAAATAAAAACCAATAAGCGAATATTAACACCAACTTATGATAAACCAAGAAAGAAACGAAAGCTGGAAACATAAAGCAAATATCTGTTTCTTTATAATTTCACGGTTTTTTATAGGGATTTCAGTAAAAATGACAATAAATCTAAATTCAGCAAGCTACCCAGCGAACGAAAATACGCAGAAGACGTCTAAAATCTATGGAAAGATTTTAAAAAATTCTTTGATACGAAATCTGAGCTGGACCCGGACTTTTCATTTACCAAAGTGGCTACTCAAATTCGCGAGTTACGCGGTGAGAAAGGCATTGCCAACTCTACACTGAATAACTTTTACCAACGAAAAACTAATCCGCGGAAAATAACTGTCGAAGCAGTACGGGAATGGGTTGATAAAGAAAAGGGAAGGAAAATAATGGTGTTAATAATGATAATGATATGTAAACATAGACTTCACTAGCGCGACTAAAGTATAGGAATACTCATCAATGGCTTTGGGTCCGAGAATTTCCTCCCATGCAATCGCTCTAGTGAGTATGAAAATGTACTGTACGTTGTTTGTAAAATGTAATAAACAAGACATCTGCAAACTTAAGTGTATCAATAACATTTGTTGATGGGGAGATTGTAGTTTTGGCTTTGTTCAAGCAAAGTTTTTATTTTTTGCATAAAATTGCTATTACGTGTTGTGTGATCATGTTGCAATTTCTGCGCATTGATTATTATTGGTCACATTACAAAGGAACATGTGAAAGTTCCCAATAATATGTCATCGATTAAAGCCACTGAAATTCTGTATATAAACATCACATGTGAGACTTGACGAAAGTAAATGCAAAAATCGAAAGAAAGCTGAAGCAATTAAACAACGGCTTGGGTTTGAGAAGGGACAAGACCTTCTCACTTCACTCTATGCTGAAAAGGCCGAGCTGCAAAAGCAGCTAACTGTGCTACTAGGACGGACAGGTAACGACTTTGTGACTCGGCGTTGGGGACACAGAGTAGCACTGCTTTTCTTGCGTTATGTCTGCTCACCGCCGCACTGTTTGCATTGTGCACTCGAAACACATAATTATGTTGCATCAACGAGTGTTTACTCACCTATTTTACCCATTATCCGAAATTTTCAGATGATATAAATCCCTTACGACAAGAAAATAAACGCTTATTAGATGAATTGAATGGTAAAAGGCGTTTCATCTAATGTCACAATTTTACTTCTAACAACTTATGCGTGCGTATCCTGCTTTTGCAGAAATTAAGTCGAAGAGAATGAAACTTGGTGAAGATTGTGTTGAATGGATCCAACTTGCTAAAGAGTTGAGCCTAGACAAGGCGGTCATAAATGAGACGTTTTACCTTAGCAAACTCGACTCCAAAGAAAGAATCTCGAAACAACTCCAATCTACAGACAATGCCAAATTCGAGCAGTTGTTTGAAAAAAAATATATTGGCATCATTTGTGGTTCAAAATTTCCTTAGGAGTTGAGAAAAAAGGTGATAGAAAAATGTTTAATTGTTGTTCTTCCGGGCGGTCACTACTCTTAAGACTTGGCCAAGATCCTCAAGGACAAGACCCCTTTCGAAGTTTATCTGATATCATTCGCACTATTTTCACTACTTCTGATAAAGCAAATTGCGAGGTGAGCAAGGCTTCTGGTAGTTCTCACGTTACAAAGGAGGATGCACATTTGGATCTCATCTGGTGATCTTCAATTCCTAGTGATTGGTAAGAATTGACTCTTTGTGAGGAAGTCTTATCTAGATCTCTATTACTATGGCACAATCTCTAATCTCTATGGCAAACCTAAGCAATGCATCCTTCTCACCAGAACCTCTAGGATTAGGATGGGAAAATCAACTTTCCTTTTGTATTTCCTCATTCATTTCCTAAACAATAATGATCAAATTGTCGTTTTTCATCCTCAAGATATGAACAAGTTCCCTTACTATGCCTTTATGAGATATTTCGTCTGTGGGTTGATGCATGAGGAAATTTATGACTTCTAAATCTCAGTGATACTGTGTACTTGGCAGATGGCAGTTATTATTATGATGCTCATGTTGTTGAAGCATTTTCCATTGCTGCTCTCTCACCTAAGAGTTTAACCAGCACAGCTGAGAGGTCAACTCAAAAGTATGACAAGAGGTGTGGTAGCATATTCTATATGCCATCATGGAGCTTTGAGGAGCTGGAAACCCTCCGGTCAACGATTTTTAGTTACATAGAGCCTGAAAACTTGAAAGAATTTTTCGAGTACGTAGGTGGTGTACCAAGATATACCTTGCAGATGCCTGGGCTTGCTCTACTAAGTGATCCAGATAACTTGGCAATGGCCCTGGACAATTGTCTACGTCAAGTCTCTCAAGCTCTTGCTGAGCTCGATACTCCAGAGAAGGCTGTGGCATATATTCGTCATGCTTCCCAGGCTGTGTTGTTCAGTAACCTTCTCGTCCATATGCAGCCTAGCAACGGCCAATACAATAGAGTTTATCCCAAATGGGCTTCTCCCTATGTTGAACAGGAAATTCTACAATTGATAGATGATAATTCTCTAAGGGAAGTGTTGGACGGACTTGGAAAAAGAGACGACTACATCGGAGTATTCTACATGCAACGCGGAATCCATATCGAGAGTAACAATCGTAAAAGCGCCTTTTAGCAGCCGCGTAATATCTATCGTCATGCTTGGTAACCCAATTATGAGTTTGTTGCGACGATTAAGCCAAATTGGCGTATCTTTTAAGCTGATTAACGTCATTATTGTATTTCTGTGTCGGAAGTGAATATATTCTGGCAAACTCATTCACAAGTGTTGGTGCACATGTTTTGCTACTTCCAAGAAATAGCGAAGAGCGCAGTAGACGCTGTCAATTTGAGTTGACTTTATTTCAGTAATTTCCGAGTTAGGGATTCATTTTTTATTACTAGTTGTGACCAAGTTGTCAATTGCTGCGTTTCGGATATCTGGGAGAACGACATAATTCTATTCTGTTTATGGTCGAATAATTGTTTTGTTCGAAAACAGTCTCGCAAAGTTTGGTTACTCGTTACTCGGCAAAATAGAATTGTATTATAATCTCTTTTTACAATGCGCATAGTCGGCGGCTAGCTTTAGCAATTTAATAAACGGTTTTTGAGTTGTAAAAAAAAAGCCAAGTTTCTAGAGCAACGAGATTAGAATAATAGTTTGGTAGGCAAATAAGAAAAAGAATGTGGGCCTGGCGTATGACATTAGGAAGATACATTCGCTATTTAAACAGTAGTTGGAAAAAAACCTTTTTGTAACACAATGGATCTACATACTAATACTGTAGATGTTCGGCTAAATTCTACACGAATAAATGTGTATAATTAAAAAAAAACTATTTACGTTTACCGATCTTGACTGCTCGACTTATCATGGCCGAAATTGTTATAATTTATTTGGCTAATACCATTATGCAATTGAGGAATCACCTATCAGTAAAGATCACATGCAGACATTTCTCTTTGATGTTTGGCTGTTGATCCTTGACAGACCGGGCTGTTCCGATAAGTACCCAGATCGATCTAGTACACATTGCAATTTTTATATTTGTGTGAAAAATAAAAATCGAGAATGGGAATTCCAATTGGAAATGTATCCCACTTTGCTGCAAATCGAGTACGAAAATGTTAAGGGAAAGACATGGACGAAAACGTGGAGTATAACGCGGATGAAAAGGTCGAAGGAGAGGAGATGGAACGGACCGCAAGCATGCAACCCGAGATTATTCAACCTTCTTCACGAACACCTTTGCTACACAGATATGATTCTCAAGCACTTAAACGAAAAATAATCTTAATCTTCGTAGGGCTCGCTCTTGCAAATATAGCGGCATGGGCTGGCGTAGTAATTTCATTTCACAATTATCCCAAGCTCATAGGAACAGCAAGCCTAGCATATATGCTCGGTCTTCGTCATGCTGTCGACGCAGATCATTTAGCTGCTATCGATAATGTCACGCGTAAACTTCTCCAGACTGGCCAGCGCTCGGTTGGTGTGGGTTTATTCTTTTCGCTTGGACACTCAACCATAGTAATTGCCGCGTCTCTTGCTATTGCCGTGACAGCAACGGCGATAAAAGACAAGTTTGGTGACTTGGAAACCATAGGCGGCTTAATTGGGGCGTCTATCTCGGCGGCTTTTCTACTCGCCATTGGAATTATGAACACATTCGTCCTCATATCTGTTTATCGCTCTCTCCAACGATTGAGACATACGGGTACTTTTCAAGAGGAGGATATAAATGATGTTTTGAATAATTCTGGTTGTCTTGGAAGATTCTTTGCCCCTGTGTTCAGATTCATTGATAAAAGTTGGAAAATGTATCCATTGGGCGTTTTATTTGGTTTTGGATTTGATACGTCTACTGAAGTTGGAGTTCTTGGTATTGCTGCCATCCAAGCGAATCAAGGTCTAGCTATATGGTTGATTATGTACTTCCCTTTGCTCTTCACTGTCGGAATGGCTACCATCGATACCATCGATGGTATTCTTATGTTAGGAACTTATTCTTGGGCTTATATTAATCCCGTTCGTAAGCTGTATTATAACCTTACCATTACTTTCTTGTCAATTCTAATTGCATTCATAATTGGAGGAATAGAACTTTTGAATATTATTGGTAATCAACTGGATGCTCAAGGTCCGTTCTGGGCATTCCTGACTGCTTTAGGAGATCATTTGGGAACAATGGGCTTTATAATAATTGGACTATTTGTAATCACATGGATAATTTCGGTTATATTTTACCGGTTCAGTGGTTATAGAGAATTAGAGGAGAGATTCGTGCACCAATCTGAAGAAAACGCTCGCGCAAGTAGAACGGACGATGCTTCCGATAACGGCGCAAAGAGCACTCTAAACAGTCACAAAAACTCTGTCGTTGTTAATGTTGACGAAGTAAATCAGGAAGAAATCCTGTCAGGCAACAGTAATGCGTAATAAATCTTTCACGGGTGTTGTATCAACGGTCGCATGTTATTTTATTAAGTTTGGCAGAATGAAAACAATTGATTTAAATCTACGAACCGCCTTCCACACCTGTCCAAGTACCCATCAACGACTTTCTTTAACGGAACAAACAGATGGCGATTCTGCTCTATCATTGTTTTCGTTTGATCTGTATTCCAACGTTATAGAAGTTATATCACGGACAAAGACTGTGGATCATGCATACAAAAACACTCACCCTCAATAGTCCTTTTTTTAGAATTCATTGCCTTGTCGACATCGAACAGAGTTGACAGATATAACAGTTGTTCGTATAACAACGTATCCGAATACTATCACAAAACAATGTTGCAGATTAATCGTTGAAATTTTTGGTCATATTTAACAGTAAAAGTAAAGTACCTCCGCGACTGCAGTTCCACGGCATCCGGGATGTAAACATCGTTTCCCATGCATAAGTCTGGTACGATTACGGCACGCTTCGTCGTCGCAGACTAGCCACCCTTCGTAATATTTAGTTATGTGCCATCGAATTTGACATGAAAGTTGTGCAATTAGAGACGCTATTGGGAGTACCCGATTACATGCTGAATTCGGACACAATATCCCTGATGGAGAAAGAACATATCCGTCCTAGAATAGTATAATAAAGACATTGAGTTTGGCGATGATGTATCCATATCATCCATATTCATGTGATGGAATACGCACATTTTTTGAATTCACGCCTTCGAATATGGATTGTCCTTGACAATATTTACAAATCGGCTTAAATCTGTCTGCATTCACAAATCGTTCTTCATCACTGATCTGAGAATCCAGTGTGTAAAGCTCTGCTACTGCAGATCCAGAGCCTATCGAAACACGGAACTTGGACGTATCGAGTCCTCACAACGCAATATAATAAATTAATACAAAACGGTGATAACAGTACGAACACAGGGCATGCTTCAAGTTTTACTTATGAGTACCTAAACATCTAGCAATCTGTACAGAATCGGTTCCTTCAATAGGCTCACAAAGCCTCGCGACAGCCGGGTGAACTTGCTGATTTAAATACCATTCATAATCTACTAAAGCAATTAAATCATATCAATCATTACAAGTAAAACTCTCAAATTTTATCGATATCATACCAATCTTTAATGTGCCCGAAGATGATATATCGTTGGGATGTCTCGCACGGTCTGCAATTATTTTAGTTTCTTTGAATTCATCCCCGGCGCAAATTACGTACGGTATCGTGTCCCCAGTACGAACGCCAAGCCCCTTTTTCTTCATTTGCAGCGCAACTTGTACATGTGGTTGATTTTGCTTGTCAGCATAGTCCTCTGGTGCTTTTGTGAGATTCTAGTAAAAGGATCTGCGTTAGATTCTTGCCTATGTGAGTGACACATAACTTCTTTCCAACAGACCTTATTTATGACAAACTTGTCTGTGGGTATTCTTCCTAAACGCGTCTCTTCAGCTAAGGTGGTGAGGAATTTGTGTATTCTATTTAATACATCCTCTCGATCATCGGGAGACAGAAGCTGTTCTAATACATATCTTATGGATGAAATAATTTATATCAATGTCGAGAAATAGACTTAGTATGATTCCACATTAATTCTTCAAATACACACTTTGATGCGTCATGTGACAGACCACACCAGTCTCTTCTAACAAGGTCAAGACCCTTTGTCTCAATCGAAGTCTCCAACACGCCGTTTTTCTCTTCAGCGATCAGCGCTGCATATTTTTTCTTTTTCAATAACAACATTCTCCGAAAGAAACCGTCCATTTCGATCTCAAGTAGTTTGTATCTTTCATTGACTTTTCTTTTCAGTAAATTGCCCATCTCACGTACTTTCTTCAAATCCATCTCATTCGTGTAAATCATTATGGAATCAGTATCGCCATATATAACCTGACAATAAAGCGTGTTTAAGAATGCAGAATCGCCAGACTGAAATTAACATAAATTAATGTCTTACTTCCATCCTTTCACTTTCTGCTAAATCAACTGTATTCTGCAGAATCTCACGACCTTTCGACGTAATTAGCATAGCCAAAGATTTTGCGTAAAACCGTGAGAATGTAAATCCAAGGCATCCGTACATACTATTCGCAGTGAGTTTCAAGGCTTGCTGCCTAATGTCATACTAGTTACAAAATAATCCTCATCCGTCAGTGACCGAGACTTTTAAATAACAAAAACAAATGCATTATTGGAAAATGACCTACCTGCATTCGAACACTCTCTGCGATGTGAGGGTCTTTTAATAACCGCTTCACCTGCCTTCGTCTGTCTACCAAACTAGCAAGCAGTTTTGGAAGGATGCCTTGAGGTAGTCCTGAATCTGGGATGTCAGGTACCCGCTCTTCATTTTCCTAAAACGCATCAAGAAGAAATTAAACCCAATTTACAGAAATCCGTATGTTCACGTGGAGCATCGAGCCAAGCTATTACCGTGTCAGCACGAGATATTGTCGTAAAGCAAATATTATATTCCTGAATTATAGATGGATATAAACTATTAAAATCTAACAGCAGGACATATTTGTCATAAAAGCCTTTTTTAGGCTCTAATACAAGACCACCAGCATAGGCTGGTTTTCGTCTTCCTGTTTTCTTTATTGACTGATCTACAAGTAGAAAAAAGAACAACTTGAGAATCTGCTCTGCCTTTCAAAACATGGACATACTTACGTACCATAATCGTCAACTCCGAAATCGGAATACTTGTTCTTAATATTTGTGTAAGCTTTATCTGGACATATGTATTTGTTACGATGAAATTCATGAAGCAGCAAGCTCTCATTTCGTTCTGCTCTGCCTCCGATCAGTGTCCTCGCCCTGAATATTAGCAGAGTTAGGGATGTATTTCCGTCATAAAAATTCTGCTAGCTATTTGCCGCTCACCAGGTATTGCCCGCTAAATTCGTTAATTGTTTAGATAACGGAAGAACTTGCAATCGAAATGTCAACGCAGCGGCAAGGTACGCATCATTCTCGCAATGTTTGATGACATAAAATAAGTTAGCCGAAGTTTGGAAGTATGTATCTATTTTGGAGAATTCGATATCTTCGCGTTTAAATTTCAATTGAGATGATGCCAATTCCGTCAGCGTATAATTTTTGGACTTGATTAAATCCTGAAAAAGATGCAGAATAAGTTGATGTCAGAGTCAATACATATTAATTAGGAAATATGGTTATTTGAGTTGAATCACACATGTATAATAGAACGTATCAGTAATTTATTACCCTCGCGCTCAGGTAAGTGTCACACATGAGGCGACCACTGACGATCGCCTTCTCCATATATGTCGAGTCGCTCATCCCTCCAGCGCCAGTTTGTAGTTTAGGCCATCTTGTAGTAAGTCAAGACTCAGTATGTTGGCAATATTTAGAATTAACCTTATCATTAAATAATTCTTACGTAGTTCGTCGTAGACGTCCAAGCTTAGACCAGCCATCAATCTTGAGTTCTTTCATCCGATGCAATAATACGTCAAGATCAAACCCAACAAAATTGTGTCCAACTAGAACATCCGGATCGACTCGATGGATGATGGCTAGAAGACGAATTAAATTAATAAGGTTGGATTTTTGACGCATGAAAACACAGTGTAAGTGTTACTTACCTATGAGGTAATTCAACAATGATCTTTCGGTTCTAGTTATTTCTAATTTAATGCCACGCTGCTGCGCATTGTCATGAAATCCAACCGGATATGGAGTATGACTCAGTTGACGTACCACGGTAAAATAAGTGGACGGAATCTTTTCGGGTGGGTCGGCAGTATCTATAGGGACTATTTATTGAAAAAAAAGACGCGTATTAATTGGTGATTATCGCCTCGATAAATTGCCGAACATCATTAATCCCATACACGAACCATTTCTAAAAACAAGTGCACTCGCGATGACGATTTCATTGACTTTTTTTGTCGGATTCATAATTGTGCGTAAACTAAAACACATTATCGTTACTGGTGGCGGATTTTGATACGCCGAGTCGTTTGTGTCTTTAAGAATGTCGATATCCTTTGGATTTTCGATTATTATTTCGGTCTTGCACCAAGAAATCTACACAGAAGACAAACCTTATGACTAACAAAGTTTTACGTATCAAATTAATACATTCTTTAAACTTACGTTGGTGCCGCTAGGCGTAGCGTTTTTTATTTCTAACCAACATGGGCCCATTACTTTCCTTTTTATGAGGAATAGCTCCAAAGCAGAAGTGTTTGTACCAAATATGTGGCTAAAAGTCTCGCCGGTCAAGTTACTCGGGAGCTGTGGTTCTATGTTGATGTAATATCGTACATTGATGTTAAAAAAAAACGAGACCAAAAGTATCTACAGACTGACCAATTGATGTAAAGATTTACTCACGCGAGAACGAATATACGACTTTTAAATATTCTGTTTCGGAAGGAATATTCGGCAACTCGAAGGTATACTTGCGAGTAACAGGCTTCGCCCCCCATTTACGTATTTGGTGTTTGGACCGTATTCCATCAAACTCTGCAATGACATCTTCAAAGTTCACTTCAATTTCGGTTTCATTACCGTCTCCTGTAATTTATCAAAAATTTAATTTCATAAACGTGACAAATGTCTAGAGAATCAATCGATCCAACAGATAAGAATAACTAACGATCAAATCGTTTCTTCCGTGGTAATATGAAGAGGTTACGTTCAATATTCTTAACTGTTACACAACAACTGACAAACGTGTTGGTAGATTTATCCTGAACCTGAAAGTGTTTGGGGTTGATAAATTTACAAAATATTAATTGGCTGATGCAATAAAATTTCAGTATAAACGCTGTCGTTTACCTTGCCAAAGATATACAGTAGGCCAGAAATCTCTTGCGCATCAATCCAATAAAATTTAATGCTATCGGATTGGCTCAGGATGTCTGGCTTGACATCCTGAACGGATGCATCGAAATCCTGATCTTGGGTGATCTCAACCCGCCGAAGCTCAACAGGTTCTTCTGGCGTACTTTCCATGACATCCAGATTTGTTAAAAAACTGTCCATAACCATGTCATCCTCGGTAGTTATATCTTGCTGTTTAGTTGATTTATTCGTGGCGCTCGCGAAGAAATCAACAGGTTGTTCTGGCGTGCCCTCTATGCCATCCAGATTTGTTAACAGGTTGACCATAAACATATCATCCTCGGTAGTTCTATCTTGCTGTTTAGTCGATTTATTCGCAGCGTTTGCGAAGAAAGTTTCTAACTTCTTGTTTGGTGGAGATTTAACTACCTTACTCGTTTTTTTTCTTCTCTTGCCTGTCTCAGAAGAATTGGCATGCAAAAATGAGTATCGATGGATTATTTTTAGTATTTGCATGATTACAGATACTAATACCTTTTTGCTCTGCGTCTTCATCAGACGATTCAAAATACGGTTCTCCAAAATCATCTTGTCCATAATCTACGTAGCCAGAGCCGTCATCATCGACTACAAATTCGTCTTCAAATTCACGATCTCGAAATTTGGCATGATACTCAGCTTCATCGACTTCATCATAAATGTCGTCGTCTTGCACCTGTTTTTAAGTTCGTGAAACGTTCAGTCTCTATATTCTTCGTTTCCTTAGTATTCACCACTTTATATCACCTCATATTTATGTAAGCGAGAATTACCCCCCGCACTTCTTAGTTCACGGAAAGTAGCAAATTTGTCCTTGGATCTGTATTCACGTCGACCAGCAGGGGACATGTTGAGTACGGCTTTTTGCAATCTTCGTAATAGGAGAAATATACACGCATTAATTATCGTTGACGCGCAACGTTGACGTTAACGTACGCGCACACGATTAGAATGTTAACACGTGATACATAATGCATCGTAGTACAAGTACAATCATAATCAAGGCAATTGAGATCAGTACCGTGTTCATAAAAAGAAGAATATCAAATTGTTTATCGACAATTTGATTGCCAAAGTTTTGTCCAAGATTGACATAGTAAATAAACGTGAAATTATTTTACCTGAACATCCTCCTGGGTATGTTTTAACGTAAAGTTTGGCACACATTATCCGTCGCAAGCAAACATACTATTTCTTTTTCTCTTGCCAAAAAAGGGAGGTTTTTTCATACACTGTACATTTGATATACAGGATATTATTGATGTTAAACGAACGGATTACCCTGAACAATATTATTGTTGCAAGTGTGCTGGTTTGACTACCAATAAAGCTCAAAGTTACGTGGCTTTTTTTACGCGTTTTTGTTTCCACGTTTGAGTTTTGCTTATCACTGGTCATATAAAAACTAACCCAGGTTCAAATATTTGTAATCATTCATGCAGACCATATTTTAAATTCTGATTGGTAACCTATATGAAAGAGAATATTAGCGGTCAGTTTTTAAAAATATACCGGGTAAAGCCATACTATTATTATGACTTCTGGTTCATAATATTATTTGTTTGTTCCAGCAACTTATATAATAATAAACGTAGCCTCATTTGTTTCACTTAATTATATTAGACAATTTTATCTCGTTATATGTCTATGTATGGATTTGTACTGAAAGATTATGATTCATGAGTAATAGCAATACAGTTGAAATAATTGCAGACAACTGAGATAGTGTAAAAACAAGGGACGGTAAAAGATTGCGGCTCCAAGTACAAGAAGAAGCAAGTATCAAAGAACAAGGAGAATTTACGACGATAAAATAATCAAGACATATATGCAATATAGTTCAACATTAAAGTGAATTAGGAATTTATTTGGCCAATAAAATCAACGCAATATCCTACTTCATCTTTAACGAAAGTACGATTGACATGCAACGTTTTGCTGGCGTTTCGAGTGCCCATGATTTCATCTATACTCACATCTAATTAATTAACTTGTTGCACTCTTTATAAGAATCCCCGAATACGAAGAAGTGATTTGGATCTAACCAACAAATCACGATGGATGCTTTCAGAATTCCATGCAGTATGAAATAAATCCAGAACAAGACTGCAATTCCACGAATGTATTAGTACAAATACTATATTAAATATAACGCCTTGTTCATTTTGTCCGGATGCACGCACGTATCCGGAGCATAATCACTATTATTATACTAATCGAGTACGACGACTTCAAAATTGTCCGCCGATGGGCTAAACTTGTACTAGTTTTAATTTCCGCTTTTGTATAACTGTGTTACCCGGTTGATCAATGGAATAGACGACGGGTCTCTAGAAATCAAACTCCTCTGACTTGTTTACAAGACACATCAGATTGGAGATACAGGAGCAACGACTTTGGCAACGGCTTTTGCGTTAATTTCCTCCCCTGCCTTCTTTGATCTCTGGAATAATAAGATACCAACCTCCTACTCACACGGGTTCCTGTTAAAGACACCCTCATCTCATCCTTGTTTAAAACCCACCATGTCGGAAGGTCATCCCTCAAACGATGATACTGAAGATTTCAAAGAACAAGACCGGTTCTTGCCAATAGCTAACGTGGCACGTATTATGAAACGTGCCTTACCGGAGAACGCAAAGATTGCCAAAGAAGCAAAGGAATGCGTTCAGGAGTGTGTATCTGAATTTATTTCCTTTATAACAAGCGAATATCCTTTAATATAACCTCGTGCCATATATTTTACCAAAGAGTACACGTGTTTTTGCTAAATTCGAGTTTCGCAGCGAAAGTTACTATTTATTAGTCGAAATACGTGCTATTACGTCCTTGACCACGGTCTTGTTGTTACGGCTAGCGATCGCTGTCAGCAGGAGAAAAGGAAAACTATAAATGGCGAAGACATTTTGTGGGCAATGCAATCATTAGGTTTCGAGAATTATGCTGATGTTTTAAAGATTTATTTAGCGAAATATCGAGAGGTATGTTTGTGTTAGACTAATGGATCATTATTTGTTTGTGATTAACAAGCGTCAAATATGACTGGTTGACGATTTTCATTTGGTGGCCAATAGACTGTTAAACTAGAGCGATCGTCTGCAGGCACGAAAGAGAAAGACGAAGATGGTCACGGCGTGAGCCCTTCGTTTCAACCGACTCAGGCGCAACAGCCACCATCACAGCAACCACCACAGCAGCAACCAGGACCGTACTATCCTGGTATGCAATCTGTCACTGGTATACAAGACATCGAACGGCTATAATTGGTTTCTTAAAATCATTCTCTATCAATTAAAGAATGAAATGGCATTTGTTCTAATAACGAATTAGTCGATTTATAAATTCACTCTAATATACAATTTCTTAGTATACAATGTTAATAAGTAACCTGCGAACCTACCCAATATTTCTATCGATTTCTACCAAATCCCACGTTTCGTTTCCATCATCCATGTCATCATCATCATCATCGGCATCATGGAAGTAGTTGTCATGTATTGCCGTATCATGCATGCTGTAATTATTTATTCCATCTTGCCCATCTCTTAAAGCAAACATCGCTTTCACGAGAGATGTGTAATCCAATCCAAACGACTGATCGGGTATATTCTGATAAGTTGTTAAGTGAGAAGACCTAAATAGAATGTTAACGATGAGTATCAAGTTACAATAAAAATAGAAATATACTGTTATGATTATTAAACGCTCTTGTAATGGTTAATCGACATTGTCAATATAATCAGTTATTATCGCTCCCTATTCGTCAGTATCATCATTATTCCTACCTTCCTAGCCCAGCCGCGTTGCAACAAAGATATAGATTTTGTAGGGTATTTGGCACCTTATGAAAGGCAATATCGACTCCTTGTGTTCGACATAAATAGGCAATGTCATAATTCAACATTGCCAACCCTTTGGTAAACGTGTCGACGTTCGATCCATCCAGATGAAGAGGTCGTCTCCTGTTATCAGGTTAGTTTGACCGCAGTAACAATAACATCATTAGTCATGAATCCATACAACCGAAAACTCTTTACTGCGAATATTTGATGCAATATTTTCACTTGTTAACATACCCGCCTGTCATACCAGAAAATGATCCGGTAGCGTATGGTAAAGATCCTTTATCTCGCAGCAAGCGATAGGGAAGCTTCACACCCAAATAATACGCTATTAATTGCAGCATATGTATTACATAACCGACTGTTGTGTTTATATCCTCCATTGGATACTCTATGAACCATGAAAAGTTGATATTTACAACTCATCCTTAACAATCTCATTAACTTCAACTTTTGAATATCAAGCAAAATTTACTTTGGAAATTTCCTTTCTTTGGCAATGTCATCCCCGCTATTGAATATTCAGCGTCATCGTCAGCATTTCCATTGGGCGATTGTATTATGTCGTTTTCCTTGGCTATTACAGCCGCGCCGTTCTCTCGTACCTCAGAGTAATGGTCTTGTGGTCCATTTATCCGTTTTAAATCAAACAGAGACACGAGTTCTGCTATTAAAACTCTTCGAGAATGCATAAGCGTCTGGTGTTTATTGTGCGATCGTTCTCTAGTCTCAGCAATGTCTTTAATAATAGCTGCCTTTTGATTGGCCTTGAGGTTAGCGAAGCATGCCAGAGATTTCTGGAGAACTGCTTTGCGAGTTGCTATGGACTTTTTTAGCATCTCGATTTCCTGACCGTCTTGATCGACATTGACGGACACATAAAATTATGATCATTGAAATAGCGCAAACGCGCAAAGTTTTCAAACTGCTTGTCAGTAAACTCGGATGACTGATTTAATCAATTGCAAAAGGTAACATGTTTGATTCACTACCTCGTACTATCTCCTCGCGCAGCCGCTCAGTCTCTCTCATTACTCTCTTTATATTCTGAGTTCTCGCGTGCTTTTCTGCTATAATTTTCAGTTGATCTCGTAGCCCATTGTTTACTAGCTTATTAGCCCGGTCTACATACTTTTGCTTATCCTGTGTGATTTGTTTCATATTAACATGGTGTGCTCGTAGTCTATCGGTTAAGAGAATGTGTCAGTATTTACTGTATATCCTCGAAGACTTTATCATAAGGTTACCTTTCTCGTAAACAGTTGATACAATAAAACTTTCGTTGATAGCTATGGCAGATCTCGCAGTCCATGTTGGTAATAATGGATATTTGGGAAGTAAGTAATCGAAAAGGGGATAATTAACTGCGCTATATTTATTCGTGAATTTTGTCTCACATGCCATAAGCTATGTGTGCTCACGTGGTCATTGTATATTCATTCAACTAACACCGCCGCAGTCTTTGAATAGCTTGGTAAATCAACAGACAATGACCGATTATTGGGGATATGCGTATGCCTTGGTGAGTGGTCGACTAATGTTTGCGCTCTATCCATCAGACGCAGCTTGCAAACATGTCTCTTGTTTATAGACAATCACTGTGGGCGGAATCTTTGGATATGCGAGGTGAGCATGGCATGGGAAATCCGTTAAATCGTGAGAGGGATAGCTAGTTCTAACAAATTCTACATCATTACGTTTGGTTATTGTCAGAGCTGGTAAGTATGGTATAGTCTCGATACCTGTATTTTATTGAAAACAGATGTTCTTATGGCGTATAACTATCGACAATAGGAAGTGTAGCATCCTTACTTGCAGGATTAACTTTCGGCGGATTGGCGGTACGAATTTTATCAAGTTTTCTTGTTTGATTACTTCTCCAATTAAGTTTGATTTGCCTTGCAGGGATTCTCGGCATATCGTGTCAGTCTTAACTCGAGAAATGTAGGATTGGCTCTAGGTGAATTCAATTTTGGCTTCTTCTATAAATAAACTGATCTCGGATTGAATCTAGTATTAACATAATTACATACAGTTATCTCTCTAAGTTTATTGGTTGTGATGGGTACGCGTTTTGCGAGAAGTGGAAAGTTCATGCCAGCTGGATTGGTTGCTGTCTTGAGGTCAGTACATGACTAGTATATCCCGTGACCATTGCTATTATGCATCAGTTCTTATTTTATTTCATTTTATTCGTCGTTCAGCTTGCTATCGGCCATAAGATACGGCTACAAATACATTGCTTGAATACGTTGAATTCACGTGACTTTTGTACAATAATCAAATTCCAATATACAAAAATTAACTGATATCTCTTTTCATTAAACGAATAAAATCGATAGCTAAATTAACGACGCCTGTCATCACGTCGCTTGCTGTATCTATCTCTATCCCTATCCCTATCTCTATCCCTACCTCTATCCCTGTCTCTATCTCTGTCTCTATCTCTGTCTCTGTCTCTGTCACTATATTCATCTCTCTTTCGATTTTCCCTACCCCTGTCCCCACGCCTCTCGCTATCCCTATCCCAATCCCTATCCCTATCCCTCTCCCAATCCCTATCCCTATCCCTCTCCCTCTCCCTATGACTGTCTTGATTCCTACGTTGGAAGGCCTCCCCAATATCGTTTCTTTGTGCCCTCTTCTCGCGCTGTTCTTCTATGGCCTGTTTCTTTCGCTCTAAAGGATCTATTACAACATAATCGTTAGGGTCATCTCTCCTCTGCATTAGATCTTTTCCCTTGTAATCTTTCTCAAAGACAAGTTTGTGTGATAGCCATCCTTCGTCGGTATCAGTAGCTTTTGATTGACCAAACGTGTCGCGACATGAGAGACAATTAGGAACGGAATGAAGAGAACACAGTTCTGTATCGTCTGGCTGTAAGGGTAATATTACAGTGTCCTCGGCGACAACGGTGTGTAGTTTTTCTTGGAAGCCTCGCAGGCGTTCCAATATCTAAGTGTGGAATTAAAATAGGGTATGAAAAGGATTACATCAATCATACTTTTTTTAACTTAAATATTTGGTAAACTTACATCTGCTTCTGATTTCTTTTTTCTTTTGCCTATTGAAGCCTTGCCTGATTTCATAAACTTTTCCCGCTCGAGTGCCACATAATTTATCTTCTTTTTCTTCTTTTCG